GATGAAGTGTTTCTCCTTACCGATGTTACTGGTAGGCGTTTCATTTCAGCTGTTTCGTCAACCGTCACCGTTTTCAGAATAATCAGACTTAATATATGTATTTGAACATTCAGCTATGATAGTCATCATAGTTAAGATTTTAGTAAAACGATTTTAACCTGTTTTTAACCCGATGACTGGTTCGCTTTTAAATGAGCTAGCATCCATTGTTATTCACTGAATACTGTGTTTTTTCACGCGCGCTGAGACAGCCAACTCGCAATGTAACTGTACCGTCAATACTACTTCCTGATCATCAGCAGTGCTGGTCGAGTTTGTATATAAGCACTCAGTGGAGCTGAGTAGAACAAATAAGATAATTTTAGAATTAGTCTACGATGAGGTTTTAGTTGGTGGATATTTTGTGAGCAGGTACGGACCGCTGCAGGATAGGTTAATACAGTCTGGAGAATGTCGCTCTGTCTTTAGATTATCAGCTATCGACAGAGTGACCTTTGGCTCCAGACGCTATAACAGCTGTCGCACAACCAACTGCAAAAGTTAACTCGGACAATCCTGAAGAAGTCTCGTAGTAGACAAGCTGAAACGTTAGTACTGACCAGACATCCAATTAATCATCTTATTTGCTTGCGTTCTGTATAAATAAACCGTTTTGTACATTTTTTTGTTTTCAGTATGAACACCAACGCATGAACCAATTACTCCAACTTCGGATAGATTTCACATTTAGGGCATACATTTAAGTGCTTTTGAAATTAATACTTATTACTCTGCGCTCTGTCACTGTTGACGGGACAGTGACAACGGTGTTGGCTCAGGTTAATCTCAGATGATTTCAGTCAGATCGTATGGCATTTACCAAAGCAGCTTTGCAGTTCTAATTTTTAATTATTGTTACAACAGCCTGACCACAATTACCAAGCGAATTTCTTTGCATTATTCATAATCGCTGACAAGACGAATTCATGCAATAATTCAGAAAAGATCTATCATAAGTTTATTCCATCAAACTGTCAATGTACCTGTTTGACAACGTATTCTATTATTCTGACTATTGCGAACTTTAAGAGGTAGGGCACAGAGGGTAATTGTTTGGCGCTAGCGACCCGGTGTAAATATGTCTTATTTACCGCTAATTATCCTCGGTATGAAATTCGCCCCCTCTGTTACGGTGCAACCGTCCAAAATACGGGAAGCAGGACGTTGACTTGCAGAAATGAGGCAAATAGGTGTTCTGATATGATCATGACAAGGCTTGCGAGGCTTATGGCGATGTTGTCTGCAGTGTACGTTTGGCAGCTGCAATTTGCCTTGGTACGTGTCTGCTCAGGGTGTAGCTCCATAAATTTAAATTTTCACTTTAATGCATTGACGCAAAGCGTCTTTTCAAAATTTTTCTGTTATGTAGATGTGAATGCCACCATCATGCGGAAGTATAACAAAAGCGCTTCTGTTTCACAACCGTTAACTGATGACGATGAAGCATCTGGCAATGCCAGCGTTAGTAAGACGATCACCGACAAACCTGTAAATCAAACCGAACCTGCATCTGCGGAGATCAGTGTCAGTAAAGCGATATCTACGACGGGCGGAAG